CGATCCTTCAAAAATTCTTCTCCAAACGAACCTAAAAGGATTCTCTGGGACTCCAGCGCGTTCTGAAGTTTCCTCTGGACTCCTGAAGATTCCTGGGGTGTCCTCTGGACTCCAAAAGATTCTTCTGGACACCTGAGGATTTAGAAAGATTTCCAAGGATTCTTGGGGACTTGTGGAGATTTCTCAGGATTCGAAAGGCTTCCTGAAGATTCCTCCGGGTTCCAAAGGATTCTTGAGTATGTGTCAGGCCTTTAAAGGTTTCCTGAAGATTCCGCGGGAGTCCCAAGGATTTGTTTGGACCCCAGTCGATTCCTCAGGAATCCACAGCACCCAAAACGATGTCTTGGGATTGCGAAAGAGCCCATACACGGGGCCAGAGAAGGCAGTAGCACACGGGGAGCGGTTTCTGCGGAGTCCACACTTCGGATGATCAAGCCACGGAGCCGGAGTGTACGTTTGTCCACCGTGGCGCGTTGCCGCCGCAGGGCCCCCCCGCAGGGCCGGAGGAGTCGTCGTCACGTAATGAGCGCCGACACGTAACCCACAGGACTGGAGTGCGCGTTGCTCCACCAGGGTGTGACCGTTGAACGTGCGGCCCCGTGCCGGGGCCGTAGTGTACGCTCTTCCGTTGTTGAATCTTCATAGCTCAACAGATATTATTGCTGGGCCCCCCTCAATGCGATTTGGCGCTCTCGCCTCGGCGCTGGCTGCATTTCCTCCGACATCGAAGCTCACGCTCAAGGGTTTCGGGGGTGCGTCGAAACCGGCCCCCAAACAACAACAGCGCTCCGCTCGATAATTCCACAATTTTTACTCCATACGCCCAAGAGACCTGAGGCTTCCCTAGTCCATGTTGAGCCTGAACTATAAAGAATTACGAGAGGCCCTACATCAGCACTGGCGCCCTCGCTCCGGCACGGCTGCATTTCCATTGGAAATTCGGCTCACGCTCAAAACTGGCCCCCGAATAATAACAACAACAGCAGCAACAACAACAATCATTGTGAGACTGTTCGCTCCTATCTGCTCACGTGCCAATCAATACGTAGTTCCCAAGCCCTGGATACTCGCCCTCGTCGTCTTCGATCGTACCCACTTGGAGGTACATTTGTCTTACCTGCCACGCGCATGTACTGCAGCCCCTGGAACAAGGGAATAGAAGTTGGGTGGAAGGGAGAGTGAGAACAATGGATCGCGAGAGAAATTAACAGGGGGGGCAATAACAAACAACAAATGGTATAACCAGATGGGCTGATCGGGTGGGCAGACCCAGAGCGGGTAGGCCGGGAGGGCGGGCCCAGGCGACCAGGTCGAGCAGGCGGGTTGCTGAAACGTGGGTCTTGCATGAATCGCAGGGAAGTTTCGAGCGATAGCGCGATTACCAAGTAAGTCGTGCGAGAAACCAAAACGAGAGCGTGATTCCTGAGCGCCGAGGGCGCATCGTGTGAATAAATTGGGATGAGGTCCCACGCGAGAGCGCGCTTCGTAGACACATTGTGAGGGAGTCCCGCGCGAGGGCGCGACTTCGGAATAAATTGTGAGGAAGTGTCAGGCGGGAGCCGCTGTTGGTATAAACAGGGGGCTAACAGCTCGGTTTGAGCCAAGTAACTTCCCCTGATCCAAAAAAAAACAAGGTGCGGGCCCCGGGGGAAGAATTCCAATTGAAACAGCAATTGTCACCGGAGGGGGGGATCAACAATAATTATTCTTCACTGGTACACGTTAAACAACAACAAAAGACTGTTCGCTCTTACCGGCACGCGTGTTTTGCATTCTGCATGCCCCAACCTTCGGTCGCACCCCCGCTCGGGGGAACATCTTCCTTGTCGGCCACCGTTCCTGAGTTCGGGGGCCGCTCTGGCCAGGCCAGGGGCTCTCGGAATACACATGGACACATCTCGAACGGGAGCCCTTGTCGCCGTGTCTGGGCCTCCACCAGTTTGCTTGCACTGCGGAAACACAAACGCTCCCACTCAATATTTCTTCCTTTCCAGCTCGGGGCGGGGGCTTCTGCTCGCCGCCGAAAAAGCTGGTTTTCCAACACGGCCGGCGCTACCGCTCGATACTTCCCTGCTCTGTACCCAGGACAGGCACTCCCGCCTCGGCGCCGCAGACGGCCCACCCCCCTGCAGCACGCTCCTGCTGGATACTTCCGCCGCTTTTGCTCAAAGAGTCCAAAAAGGCCCTGGGGCTTCCCTGGTCCCGAGTGCCGATCCTCAAGAACGCACTGTGCACTGTCAGAGGTCTGCGCTGGTGCCTCCCTGGAACGCCCCGCGCGCCAGACGCGGCCCAAGAGCCACTGGCGGCCCGTCTACGTCGACGTCGTCGTCGTCGTCGTCGTCGTCGTCGTCGTCGTCGTCGTCGTGGTCGTCGTCGTCGTCCTCTTCCTCCTCCTCCTCGTCCTCCTCCCCCTCCTCGTCCTCCTCCCTCCTCCCCCCTCCTCCTCCTCCTCCTCCTCCTCCTCCTCCTCCTCCTCCTCCTCCTCCTCCTCCTCCTCCTCTTCCACCTTCTCCACCTCCTCCTCATCCTCCTCATCCTCCTCCTCCTCCCTCTTCTTTCTTCCCCGAAGCCCAGGGGCTCATCTGAGCCAAGCTTGTTTCGAACATGCCCTGGAACCTCCTTCGTGATGGCCCGAAATCTTCCTGCTTTGTTTCAGAGTGCCTCCCATGAACCCTCATGCTTCCCACAAGGTTTCTGAAGCTTCTCTGAAAGGCTGAAAGGCTCTGTGGGGCTTTCCAAGGGGCTCCAGAGGCTGTCCAAAGGGCACGGGGGGCTCTCCCAGACTCTGCGAGGCTCCCAATGGTGCCCCAAAAGGGCCCCAAGATGTGGCCAGGAGGTCCCAAGAGGCCCCCCAAAGGCCCCCAGGATGCCCCCAAGAGGCTCCCAAGAGACCCCCAAGAGGCCCCAAGAGGCCCCCCAGAGGCACCCAAGACGCTCCAAGAGGCCTCGGCGAGAATGCCAACATCGCTGGTTTTACTAAACTGTTTGGCACCCTTGGGGGGGGAGCACTGATTAAGATTACTCCAAGAGCGCCTGGGAGAGCCCAAGATGACCTCCAAGATGGCTCAAGATATCCCAAGATGCCTCAAGATGGCTCTCACGATGCTCCAAGATACCCCAAGACCGCTCCAAGACGGCTCCAAGTGGCCAAAGGGCTCCCCCAGGAGGCCCCGAAAACGCCAACATCCTTCCAAAACCTTAGGACCATCTCGACAATTCGCTTCCGATGGCCATCCGAGGCCTCAAGATTGCTCTAAGATGGCCCAAGACGGCTCCAAGAGAGGCTCAAGAGAGCCCCAAGACGGCCCCAAGAGCGCCCAAGAGCGCTCCAAGAGCGCCCCAAGAGACCCCCAGGATGGGATTTTCGGGGCTCCTGAGGGGCAGCGGTAATTTATGCTCCCCTCTTGTTTGACCGATGTCCTTTAAGATGGCCTTAGGAGCGCTTTTAAGGCTCCCGAGAGCGCTTCAACTGGGCCCCAAGAGGCGCCCAGGAGGCCCCAACAGGCGCCCAAGAGGCATCCAACATGCCCCCAAGAGACCCCCAAGAGGCTCCAAGAAGCTCTCCGGTTCACCCAAGACGCTCTACGAGGCGTCCAGGACCGCCAAGAGGCCCCCAAGACGCTCCAAGAGGCCTCCTATGGGGGACCCTTCCTCTGTGTGCTGCCCACTTCCCTGATCGAGGCAAGTCCTCTGGGCATCATTTCTGGATGGGCTGGTGATGCTACTTTTTTGTCGCAACCGCAGGTGAGGGCGCCAGCGGCGAGTCAGATCCGAGTGGGCCGCGCAAGAGCCGAATTACCTAACGCCGACGGGCCGGCGACCTGGCTGGTGATGTTACTTTTTAGTCAGCGGCCGCGGGCGAGCGCGCCGGCGGCGGGTCCAGTCAAAGCGGGGCACGCAGCAACGAATTAAACTAAAGCAGCGGAGGACGGCCACACCTAGAGCGGCTAACCGGGGCCTCACGCTGGTGATGTTACGCGAAGCGTCTAGAATTCGCCCCAACAAAGGTCTGCCGAATTTGCTGTGCGCGCAACCGCCGTAACCTTCAGACATGCATGGTCTGCTTTGGCATTCTGTCAAGCGAAACCCCGCGGGCCACTCGCGCGCACGTGACGAAATCATCCAACATCCATCGCGCGCCCGCCAGCTGTCCAGCAATACCATGCGGGCTACGCGCGCATGTCGAAATCATTGCACGACCATTTGCCGCATAACCAGTTCAAGGCAGATGCGTTCAAACATATGAAAACCCGCTCGCGTTTGAAGACACTCCTGTCAAGAATACTGCGCGCGCGAACTTGCCCATAATCCTCACCACCACCATCACAACCATCATTATCGTCATTGCCAGCGTCACCATTGCCGCCGTCATCATCACCACCACCACGTTCATCACCTGATGATTGTCATCATCATCGCCACCGTCTTCATCACCATCAGCATCATCATCATAATCACCATCTGCATCGTCATCATCATCAGCAGCAGCATCATCATCATCATACTCAGCATCATGCTCATCATCATCGTCATCGCCATTGTCAAAGCCTTCGTCATCAACGCCACCACAATCACCACGATCACCATTAGCGTCGTCGTCGTTGTCGAATTTGTCGTCACCATTCTCACCCAGCTTGCCCGAGTCATGAAGCTGCATGATAAGGGTCCTCGCGTCATAGGGTAAGTTGAGTTGGTTCCAATCAGTTGTGGGTGGGTGGGTGGGTGGGTGGGTGGGATGTTTGCTTGAGCAGCAGAGTTGGCGACCCCAAGGCCTTGAAACATTAATTGCGCACCGCACCAAATGCACCATCCACAGACTGCACAATCATGTTTTGCACATCGAGAGTGCGTGCGTGAACCCAGCGTTTGGGATCCACACTGCCCAACATATTGTTATAGATCGTTTCGGAGGGTTCTAAAAGGACCAATGGGGTCGCAGGAGGCTCTAGGGGATTCCAGGAGGAGGAGGAAGATTGCCGCGGGGGTGGGGCAAAAGCAACCATTTTGCTCCCTGATGGCAGGCGGGATGCCGCCCGTGTGCCTGGCGACCGCCTCCCCCATCTTCCTCTGCACGGCGGGGGACGAGAGATTCCTCCACTCGTCCGCCTCCAGCATCACAACGTTGAAATGGTTGTCCGTGTACAGCCTGCGCAGGGACGGCCCCACGAGCGGGATGCCGCCCAATGCGATCACCTCCCAGGTACGGTGGCTGTCCATCCCGGCGCCCGGCGGCGAGGCCACGAAGCGATGCTTCGCGGTCTCGGCCCAGAAGTCGGCCCGTTTCATATGTGGGGGCTTCGTCGTGACCAGGCCCCGCTGGGACATCAGCTGCCAAATGATCCGCTGCCTCTCCTGGGAGCTACCTTCTGGCGGGGGGGCAGGAGGCTGCGGGTTCGCCCGTCCACTCGTCGTGGCGGGGGCGGCAGCAAAGTGAGGAAAGTTATGAGAGACGTGGCGACGATGTTGACACAGGACAGGAGGAGGAGAAGGAGGAGGAGGATGAGGATGATGAGGATGCGGAGAAGGAGGATCAGGAGCAATCGAAGGAGGATGAGCAGCAGGAGCAAGAAGCCAGCGGAGCTAGGACGAAAACGGCAAACGCACTTGTAGGAGCAAGAATAATAATCAAACGAATAAGAATAATAATAATAAGAATAATAAGAATGATAATAAGAACACTAATAATAATAAGAATAATAATAATAATAATAATAATAAGAAGAAGAAGGGAGGCACACGAGTAGAGGGATGGACACACTTAAGACATAGGAATCGCGTGCAGAGCAGGCGGGGAGGGATGCGGACCAGGGTCAGCAACAGCGGCAGGAGGAACAACCGCACTGCCCCGCGCCACGGCCCCCACCGCCCGCCATGATCCCTTCCTTCTCTCATCCCCCTCCTCCTTCTCCTCGTCCTCCTCCTCCTCAAGCCTGAGTCCGCGGGCCCTGAGTTCTCCGAAGCGCTGTGGCCCTCCAGCTTCCTCCGACTGGCGAGAGGAGGGACTGCAACAAGGCCCGCTGGCGCCCGCCAGATCACTACCAGGGGACCCGGGAGCGACCGAAGGGGACGACACGAGAAGGAGCGGCGGGAGCAACGGGAGAGGAGACGAGGCAACATCAATCAGCATCGACTCGGGATATCTGATCGGACCACAACGGCGCCGTTCAAATAGCCCCGTCGAACTGTCGGAATCGAATCTGACCGGTCGAGCAGGGATCGATACCGAATCGGACCGCTCAGGTCGAAAAGGGCCCCGCAAGAGGGGGGAGCGGGGGGACGCGCGGGAGAGGGGAGGGTGAAGGCACCGCACGAGCCCCAGTGGGCCCCCGGTGCCAGAGCTCCTCCGGGAGGCCAGGGCAGGGGGAGGGCAGGGCAGGAGACAGACGCACGAGGGGAGGGGGCTGAGATTACCAGCCTCGAACGTATCCCTATCTCTAAGATTGACACGCCAAAAGGCGATGACAATCTTAGGGATTCGCCCTCAAAAAATAAGGGAATCCCTAAGATTGGCATCGTGATGAGGAGGTGCCCAGCATAGGGATAGGGATATGTTCCAGGCTGGTAATGAGAGGGAGGGGAGAGCGAGACGGGGAACTCTGGGGGCAGGCTTCCGCGGCAGAGGCAGGCCGCAGCCGAAAAGGTGCAGGTGGCTGCCGCTGGCCCTCCTCTCGGAGCAGGGCGAGCTGAAGCAACGTCGACTTGAATGAAGGGGCCCCAGGGCACACAAAGAAATACTGCACACACAAATAAAAAGATTCCCCATATTTTCTCATATTTTCGGGGTTTCTGTCTCCCCCCCCCCTGCCCATATTTTCCCATCTTTTCTTGGAAATCGACGATTAATTGTGTCTGTGTGTTTTTTCCCCTCCTGACAGAAGCAACGTCGACTTGAACTCGGTCCCCGGGGCCCCTCCCCCGGTTCTCCGAGCTGCGTCCAGCCGTGGGGGAAGGCCGACTGCCGCTGTCTCGATGGAGCGACGATCGGAAGCGGGTCTCACGCGAGATGACATGGCGACTTTACGCGGTGGCTTGCGCGGGCCGCCCGCGCGGCACGCTGCCTTGGAGACGAGGGCGCTTACGCGCAACCTTACGCGGGCAGGTTATACGCGCGAATGCCGGCGACGACGACCCCGTCTTCCTGCGTTGCTCCGCTCCACGGGCTCTCCTCTGCTCCTCCAGGCCATCGAAGCCGGTGACCGTGGACCCCCTCTTCTTGCCTCGCTCCGCTCCACCGGCTCTCCTCGGCTCCTCCCGCCCACGCCCGCCGGCCATTGGACACTGGTGCGCGTGGGCCCCTCCTGGGGCCCACCGCGCACCAGCCTCTCGAGCTGCGTCCGCTCGTGGCGGCGAGGCGCCCCGCGAAGTCCAGCCACCGATGACTCAACTGGCCCTCCGCTGCAGAGGGCCGAAAGTCCCCCCCCATAATAACCGCCCCGACAAGCGAGGCCGTCTAGTAAACGCACCGAAGAAAAGAATCGAACAGGGCCAGGGCAAGGGTGTTCAGTAAACGCCCAGGGACGTTTAGCAGACGCCATTAATCGGGTCCGGGTGATTTCCCCTCCCTTGACTCTGCTCGGCGGCGAGCAAGGGGGGAAGTGAGAAGGGGCGGGCCTTCTCGTCCCCCGGTCTTCTGAAAAGTTTCCCGGGCCTTCCCCGAAGACGGAACACGTACTTCTCACACGGCGCGAGGGCTGCTGAGAAGTTCCGCCGCCGCCTGAGAAGGCCTTCTCCTGCCCATCTCCCCCCCTCGCTCGCCGCCGATCTGCCCCTCCCGCCCCCGCTCGCCGCCGATCTGCCCCTTCCTCCCTCGATCGCGGCGGCGGCGGGGCCGCGCCGGCTCTCTGGCCATCGCTCGGACGTCCATCCCCCGTGCTTTTGTTCGGTTTCGTGTGTGGTTTTTGTTCGCCAAATGAGCAAGGATGCTCCTCGGTGGTCCTCGCCGAAGGAAAAAATGCACACGTCCGAGCGATGCCAAGCTCTTCTGCGGGCTGCAGGAGGAGGAGGAGGAGGACGAGGAAGAGGAGGAGGAGAAGGAGGAGGAGGAGGAGGAGGAGGAGGGGAGGGGAGGAGAAGGAGGAGGGGAGGAGGAGGAGGAGGAGGTGGCCCCGTGCCAGGAGCCTCCACGGCTGGCCCCCGTCCCCGCCGCACGGCGGCGTCCACGGGTTTCACGAGCGGCCCTCGCGGTCCGGACTCTGCGCCCTCGCGGTCCGGATTCCGGGAGGGAGGCGGAGGCGGAGGAGGAGGCGGAGGAGGAGGAGGCGGAGGAAGAGGAGGAGGAGGAGGAGGAGGAGGAGGAGGAGGAGGAGGAGGAGGAGGAGGAGGAGGAGGAGGAGAAAGAGGAGGAGGAGGAGGAGGAAGAGGAGGAGGAGGCGGAGGAGGAGGAGGCTGAGGAGGAGGAGGAGGAGGAGGAGGAGGAGGAGGAGGAGGAGGCGGCGCGCTCCCGCGGATACGCGGTCGCACGGATACGTACGTTCCGCGCGGGGCATTCGTGACACAGGCGCTCCATATCCGGGGGGTCGCGGCCCAGGGGCCCGCCCCACAGGCTCGTGCCCCATCGTGGCGCGTTTGTGCGCCGTGCGATCAAGGACCTCGAGGGAGGGTCTCGTTTGCGAGGAAGTCGACCAAGGCCACTGTCATCGGCGGAGGCTTCCTGGGCTGCGAGGCCGCGAAGTCGATCTGCAACTTGGGACAGGCTACGCACGTGCTCGAGATGGCCCCATACTGGATGCCAGCGCAGCTGAGAGGCGGCAAGCTCACGGGTAAGAAGATCGAAGACATGAACGTCGTAGTCCGCGCGATTTCGCACATCTCAGAGATAGGAGTTGAGAGCGGCATCTTGAAGGGCGCGCGACTCAGCGACGCCAGTCACTCCGAGGAATTTTTCTCGGAGGTGGACATGTTGGCCTCGCCCACGACGGGTGGTCGAGGACCAACACACGACACGCGGCCGCGCCTCGTCGGCCGCGCGCCGCCACCTGGGGACCCATGCCTCTGCAGAGGCAGCGGCTTACCACTGCCTTGCCACGGTTGGGGTGTTTGGTTGCTTGGCTTCGGCGCACGCTGTGCCCTCCCCAGCGCCGCCTGGCCGCTGCCGTGGGGACGCCCCAGTCGTCTTCGTCGTCGTCGTCGTCGTCGTCGTCGTCGTCCTCGTCGTCGTCGTCGTCGTCGTCATCGTCGTCGTCGTCGTCCGTCGTCGCCGTCGCCGTCGCCGTCGCCGTCGCCGTCGCCGTCGTCGTCGTCGTCGTCGTCGTCGTCGTCGTCGTCGTCGTCGTGGTCTTCGTTGTCGTCGTCGTCCGCCGTCGTCGTCGCCGTCGTCGTCGTCGTCGTCGTCGTCGTCGTCGTCGTCGCCCGTGGTCGCAGGTGGAGAGGCCCGCGGGCGCCGCGGCACGCGGGGCATTCGCCGTCGACGGCAACGGCCGCCAGCACCTCTGCAGTCATGGGGGCCTGGTAGATCCCGCTCCGAAGCCCCCTGCCGTGGAGGCGGTCGGCCAATTTGTGGGCCGCCTCCGAGGTGGCGCCTGGGACCGTGGCGCAGGCGTCGAAGGGATGAACGCCAGCGATAAGGGGGCCAGGAAGCTGAAGGTGGCGTCGATCCCTGAGACGTCGAGGGTCTGGTCGATGTTCCCGACGTGGGTGTTCCAGCGAATGTCGATGATCTGGTTGCAGGAGGCCCGTAGTCGCAGGCGCCACGCGTCTTGCACTGGTCGGCGTCGGGTCGACGAGCTGGTGTTGCCCCTTCTGCCTCTGGCGTGTTCCCCGCGCCTCCTGGTAGAGAACAGCTGGGTCTGCACCTCGGACTCCTCGGTCACGTGCGTGCCCTCCCTGTGTTTCGCGGACATATGGTCGCCTTCACCTGCGCAGGCGCCTGCGAAGGCTCCTCGCACGGCGCGCGGCACGTCCGCGGTGGTCACAACGTGGTCCGCCGTCGAACACGCGACGGCGGATTGCAAGACTCCTGGAGGTAGATGGGCGAGGCGATGGCGTCGGTATCCGTCATCAAACTCAGTATGTGTCCCATGGCTAGTGACATCGGAGGTCCCCGCCGTCGTCATGACAGCCGCTGCCGCCTTGACTGACGCAGTGCGGCACTCGAGCGAACTTGAGGATCTGGAGGTCGCGCAATTCTTGGCCGTCAACAGCCGGCTGCTGTGTGCCCGCGGACGCGGCTGCTGGTGTGTGCCCGTGCGCGCGGCTGCTGCTGCCAGCCCGCCGACACCACCAGCGCGGTCGGCAGACCCTTTATTCCACTGCGTGCTCTTCCACGTCCCTGATCAGGACAACTTGTTTGGAGTCGTCTCTGGATGGGCTGGTGGGGTTGCGCGAAA